AATGTTATTTAATATTATATTATTTAAATTTTGTATGGATCAATAGGATTCTGATGTCCACATAACATTTGATGATCAACAAAAAATCAATAAGTTTGCAAGGCTTAACGCACGTGTTGATGAATACAGGGAYGAATTAAAATTGAAACAAGTAAGTTGAGTTTATTTTTTCTTGTTATACCTTCAAATCTTATCATGGGTTATTTAAATTATTAAATCTTAACTACTTGTAAACCAAGTATGTAAATACATCAATGGAATATCTGATTTTGTATTCAATTATATTGTTTCGTAAATTATACAGTACCAGATCCCAATAATAATACTAAACAATTTTAGAAGAAACTTAATTTAATTTGATTTATCATAAACATTAAATACTTATATCTTTTGATTGCTACACTGAGACCAACTCATCTTTGATTAATTTGTTTAGACAACATTAAAGAACTTGGAAGATGCTTCTGAAGAGTTGATGTTATTAGACGAGGATGATTGTCCAAATCTTCCATACCTTTCTGGCGAAACTTTTGTATATTATAACTTAGAAACAGCACAGGTATGCCTAACATAATTTCYATTATCATAATTAATTTTTACTTAATCTAATGTGATTTTTACACAGAACAATTTGGAAGAATTGAAGAAAACTGTTGGAAAGGAGATGAAGGATATTGAAACAAAAATAAAAGATATTTCATCAACTATGAGTGATTTAAAATCACATTTATATGGAAAATTTGGTAACAATATAAACTTAGAAGCTGAAGATTAAAATATGTATATTTCTTCAATAAAATTTTATAAAATTTCATATTAAAACTAAAAATATAATCACATGTTTATTTATATTTAAAAAAAAAAAACTTGTAACCCAGCTTTCAATTAATAAAAAAATATATAACTTAAATTAAGAAAAACTTATATAATAACTTTATTTATTCATTTTATAATTATAAAAAATAAAAGAATATTGTATTAACATAATAACAATAATATAAAATTTAAAAACAACTAGAAAATGTGTGTTTGTATTTCCTAACTATGGTATTATGTAATTWAAAAAAAAAAATCCAGTTAAAAATKATTTAGTCATTAGTTATTAAAACAATGTTACTTGAACCCAAACATATTGAAATTCTAGTTACATAATAGAGGATATGTAGAGCGATTGATACATTAAAATAATTGATACAATATTTTGATGAAATTCTTAACATTTGGCAAAAAAATTTCCTTTTTCTGTATTGATTTTAACTTTTAAGGAATACAAAATTAGGTTCATAAAAATAACTTGCGTTTATGCTTGTTGAGTTTTTCAATTGATTGTTAAAGTAATGTTGAAATATAATATTGTCATGCAATAATAAAGAAACAAGACGTACAAATGTATTTGGTCTTTGTACTTAGTGGCCATGGTGGACCGACAACATTAACGGTGTCACAGTACCACATACTAAGCATAACAATTGTATTGGATTAAAAGTATCACTGCCACCTCTGGAAGCTTTGACCATCAGTTCTGGAAGTACATGAACTGTAGCAACATACAAAAATGTTCCTGCGCTGAACAACATGGCAGCTCCAGTGGCATTCATGGACGATAATGTTTCTTTACTTTCCTAAAATATATATTTAAATATATCAACATAATAATTCAATAACTATATCAAATGTCAAGTACCTGTCCTATGCAGAAGAAAGTGAGTAGTGCACCTACGGGTGCCGCCATAGAAAATACTAACAGATGTCTACGTATTCTTTTTTTGTCAAGTCCATGGTGTAATAGGATGGTGACTAGACCAAAGGCAGCTGGTGCTTTATGTAACATTATTGCGATAAAAACTATCATTTCTACTTCTGTTTGAGTCGAGGCAGCTGCAGCACCCAAAGCAATTCCATCAGCAGCTGCATGCACTACAAGACCTAAGGTAGCTGTCAAGCTACCTGAGTTGCGACTGGCAAATCCTGCTTCTACATCTTAATAAATTATTGAAATTAGCGCTCAAAAATAAATCTTTACAARCAAACAAATTTAATTTTTATTGGTTGTTAATACTTGCCTTTGGTATATTTTGATGACAGCTGATCTACTAGCAACATTAGTGTAAATCCTAATACTAATGTAACTCCAATCACTGAATGAAAATTCACATCACTGAAGTCTACAGAGACTGTTATATTATCAGCACCTGAAAAAATCAAATTTGGCACCAAGTCAGTGAGATATTATTTACAAGAATAACTTAGATAAAATAAATAATTATAATTTGTATAGATAGATATGAACTCATTGACATCATGTGACACGTTTCATAMATTTTATGTTAGAAATAAAAGTAATGATTTGGAAAATGCATAAGTATAAATAGTAAATAGTATAATCAGGGATTATGTATCTTTTTGACGTCAAGGGCTTAAAAATAAAATGTAAAAATTTTCACAGGTCACAATTTGAATATAACTTTAATTTAAAACAAACATTTATGGTTGAATCAAATTTAATGCAATTTATTGAAGTTCATATTTATTAGGTTTTAATCTAAAGTTTCCAGTTTTTACTATCTTAGTTTGAGATTTTTGTGAAAATTATAAATTTTACTTTTGGGCCAAATACGGTTCATGGATAGTAGAAATATGAACCCACCAGAATATTATTTGTCTTGTAAAAAAAGTATTAGTTTTTATTGCTGCATTAAACTTATAGTAATATAATCATACATACACATTCAATAATTGATATTTTAAAATAGAAGAGATAATTCAATAGAAGAAAAATATTGTTCACAATACAATAGAAATACACAAGTTTAGTGTGCTATACCTGAAATAAAAAGATATTATTCAGTCTAAAATCTAAATGATTAGAGAAACCGGGTTTAACTAATTGTTTAAAAATCTATAAAACAGGTCAACAACTAAATATTCAGTATTTCTAAGAATTAATGTCAGAGTGAGCTTTTGAGATCAGCATTATTGCATTCAAGAATATTCATTATTATTTTTAAATTTAAACTAGGTTATATTAACAAAMGTATAACAATTTATATTCTGATATAAAAAWGTTAAAAGTATTAACATTTTTATTGATAGAATACTAAAGATCCAAAATGGATAAAACAAGTCAAATGAGAAAAAAAACTTAAATAAATATTGCAATAAAAATATGTTGTTTTACAAGTGCTGTTYCTTATTCTTTATAGATTAAAACCATAATTTCTCAATAATTAATATTGATAATGTAGTAATATTATGTATCATATAAATATTATAAGATTAGTGAAGCCATTCATTTTGTACAGCATGTGGAGGCAATAACAACCAGTACCAGATAATTATATAAATCAAGATAAATAACCTATAGAACATAATTTATTGACTAATTGAACATGGATTGAGCTAATTACACTTCCATATGTTGACCAAAATTTCCTGTGATTTTTAATTGCTTACTACCTACTAAATTATGTATTTTCTGGTAGTTAGTTAATGCATTTTGACTGTACATAATGTTTTTGGTAGACCTGTTAACAACTGACAATTATCTACCTTCCATGTACACCTATTAATAAATGAACAAACTTTTGTGCGGTGCCACAGTCGAGTAGAGGGAATGGATTCCTTCGGGTATGATCACAGCCAATGCGGTACCGACCAGGAGGCCAGCTCCGAATAGGGACACAAGTTCCAATTTAGCCTACGAAAACACAATATAGGCATATGATATTATGATAGGGAYGTGTGAGCATGCCAGCATAGATTATACTCACTTCTGACATGGTCATCACTAGTGGAACGCTGCCCGATAAGTAGCTTGCCACCAACATCAGGACAGACAGCAGCATCAGGAACGTCGATTCATCCATTGTGGCGAGTAAATAAAAACAAACACGGATTTAAAACGGAATYGCAGAAGTGCATTCAGTGGTGGTGGCTTCAAACCGACAAATGTTTTGAGCGCCACACGAGTGATATTGTATTCTTTTCGGTAGCACAAAAAACATGTTTACACATACAATGAACTTGTTTAGTTAACTGGGAAAATAATCGCGACTAATTGTTGTCATTTGTGTAAAGTAAACAACAAACGGCAGTAGAGATTTTGTTTTTGAATTTTGCGATGCCGCTACTTAAGTACCTACATACTGGCATGATAGTACTGTTATTAGGTCAAATCATTGGCCATTGATTACCTAATGCACGCTGAAAAGTGCAACTACCCATTACCTACCAAAGTACCAATTAAATAACATTATTAYTACCAATTTTCATACGAGGAAAAATGATCATAACATGAATGTTTTGTACACGTACTGATAATATTGATATCCAACATTCCAACCACGGTAGGACAGGTTGTTGCCACGATTTAAGTCATTTTATCACAAACC